AGGTTGGTAGGTTGGTAGGTTGGTAGGTTGGTAGGTTGGTAGGTTGGTAGGTTGGTAGGTAGGTAGGTTGGTAGGTAGGTAGGTAGGTAGGTAGGTAGGTAGGTAGGTAGGTAGGTAGGTAGGTAGGTAGGTAGGTAGGTAGGTAGGTAGGTAGGTAGGTAGGTAGGTAGGTAGGTAGGTAGGTAGGTAGGTAGGTAGGTAGGTAGGTAGGTAGGTAGGTAGGTAGGTAGGTAGGTAGGTAGGTAGGTAGGTAGGTAGGTAGGTAGGTAGGTAAGTAAGTAAGTAAGTAAGTAAGTAAGTAAGTAAGTAAGTAAGTAAGTAAGTAAGTAAGTAAGTAAGTAAGTAAGTAAGTAAGTAAGTAAGTAAGTAAGTAAGTAAGTAAGTAAGTAAGTAAGTAAGTAAGTAAGTAAGTAAGTAAGTAAGTAAAGTAAGTAAAGTAAGTAAGTAAGTAAGTAAGTAAGTAAGTAAGTAAGTAAAGTAAGTAAGTAAGTAAGTAAGTAAGTAAGTAAGTAAGTAAGTAAGTAAGTAAGTAAGTAAGTAAGTAAGTAAGTAAGTAAGTAAGTAAGTAAGTAAGTAAGTAAGTAAGTAAGTAAGTAAGTAAGTAAGTAAGTAAGTAAGTAAGTAAGTAAGTAAGTAAGTAAGTAAGTAAGTAAGTAAGTAAGTAAGTAAGTAAGTAAGTAAGTAAGTAAGTAAGTAAGTAAGTAAGTAAGTAAGTAAGTAAGTAAGTAAGTAAGTAAGTAAGTAAGTAAGTAAGTAGGTAGGTATGGGTTAGTATACAAATAGGAAAAATTCCCAATGAAAAAAATAGGGAATGGTTTAGAGAATTTGATAATTGACCTTGGATCTCCGTTTTCAAAATGATTAAAAGTTATGTAGTTTTTGAGTTATTTCAAAATAAAAACTAAAAATTGCAAATTTTGTTTTTTTTATTAATTTGAAATACCTATTCCTAAGTGTAACATTCTAATGGAAAATATTTTAGTAGAAAAAGTCAGTCTTTTTTTTTTTTTTCGAGTAACCACCTGTAACTTTGTTATTTCTTACGAGGGCATCTTGGATTTTTACATAAAATTATTTCCCTCTAAATTATGGAGGCTATTCGAATTTTTATAAATACCCTCTAAAATTGCATGTGGTATACGAAATAAGTGCATTAGTTTAATACCGGATAATATTTATTGATCTAAATACTTTATATTCTTTTAGTAAGGAGAAGATTTACCGAACTGGGACCTTCCAGAAAGAGATGACTTAATCATCAGATCAACCTCTACAAAAGAAATTGCAAAAGATATAGAAACAAATACTGATCCTAAGAAAGCTACTGGCTTTGATTTAATTACGGTAGAAGTTTTAAAACAACTTTCTAAGAAAGCCATAATTAAACACATACCTGTTTAATGCCTTATTCACAGGTATGTCCCTAGGTTGTGGAAAGTAGTTAAAGTCATTATGATCCCCAAACCAGGAATACCTCCAAACGAAGTTTCATCACATAGGCCAATATTTCTATTGCCTATATTATCGAAACTATTTGAAAAAATACTAATGAAAATACTGAAACCCTTCATTGAAGAAAAGAAACTAATTCCAGATTATCAGTTCGGCTTTAGAGAAAACCATTCAACTATATATCAGGTTTATAGAATCTGAAATTCGATTGAAAAAGCATTAAAAAACAAAGAAGTCTGTTCAGCCATCTTCCTCGGTGTTGCGCAGGCTTTTGACAAAGTATGGCATGATGGCTTAAAACAAAAATTGAATATGCTACTACTACAGCCATACTCAGAGCTACTGGATTCATACAATTCAGATAGATTCTTTAAAATAAAACAAGATAAAGTAGGTACTCTGAAAAAAATTAAAGCAGGAGTTCCACAGGAAAGCGTGCTGGAACACACTTTGTATACACTTGTGACATACCCCAACTAGAACAAGACACATTAGCTACATTTGCAAGCAAAGAGCATGAAGAGGCTGCAAATAAACTACAAACATCAGTTAATTAAATAAATAACTGGACCAAAAGATAGCGTATTAAACTAAACGAAAACAAATCTGTTAATATTAATCTTGCTAACAAAAATGGTCAACGAATACCAATTAGCTTAAATAATGCCCAAGATCCATTATGTTAACTCAGCAAAATATCTAGTTATTATAGACCGTCAGATAGTGACCGATTTAGGTGCCCCATTTTCGCATACAAGCCTCGAAGAGGGTTGAAAAGTACAACGATGTTGAGTAGAATAAAAGAAAATTTACGAGTGGCTTTTGGGGATAACACATGGAAAATTCGATTTTCCTTAGAAAAATTTTCCGACCCCAAAATGCACTTATACATCCACGTCATTCAAGAAAATATATTTTTCGGACTAGTGACGATGTACCTTTGCATACAATCGGTGGGCTTGTGTATAAATGGAATTATATTTTCAGAAGTGGCGTGGCTCAGTGCTACACTTTCGATGCAAAGGAAAAGACCTTATAAAAGAAAAACTGTCATCGTGTTTCTAGTGAAACCCGTCTGACTTCTAGCGAAGTACAAAGTACAAACTGATCTGATGTTTTGTACCGTTCAAAGATATATATGTTTACGTGCCAGAAACTCGTTAGCCTTGAGAGGTTTCGCGCTGATGCAACTCGGTCAACGCGATTACTGTCACGTAGACATTTATTTACAGATGCCCACAATGAACACGTGATTATCGAGCACAGGACCGTCTCTCGATATGTTTCAAAAATATATTTGTTTTAAAACAGCAACATTGACACTTTGTGGTACCAAAAATTAATTTCAGTGCTACAGACTACTTTGATTTTATTTACTGGAATGAGTGCGATGTGACACCGCCTCCTGTGTTAAGGGATTTTACCTTATAAACGAAATCGAAATTCCAGGCTTAGATTATCCAAAGTTCCCTTACCATGCTCAATCCGTGAAGAGATGCGTAAAATTAGTTACAGAGTCATCTTCTTTAGTAATTGGTCCAAAATCAAGAGACGGCTTTATTCGCTCAAGAATAAAATCAAAAGATATTATACCAACATTTGAAAGTAAACGACCGTTTAAAATTCAATAGATTAAAATTCAGTCCCTAAATGTTTTTTTATTACTATGTTTTTTTGTACTTGATGTGTTATATTTGATTGTAAGCTTTTATGTTTGATTTATTAGCTTTTTATGTTTGATTTCTTTAGGTACTTTTTACCATTTTTTAAATAAATGTGTTGTTTAGTTTTAATCGTGTAATAAAATTTTCCCATGGGAATTCAGTTTTCGTATTCTCGACTTAAGCGGTGGATAATTTTCCAATGGGAAGTATGGGAAAATATTCCCTGCGTACGAAACGGTGTATTTTCCAATGGGAATTGTATTAACACATAACCAAAGATTTTTGGTTATCTTGGATTTTTGGTGAAAGTTAAAATATTTTTTTGGCGTATAGATTTTACTTGTTTGTGCTTATTATTTAAGTTGATTGATAATATTTTATTTATGTAGGTATATTATGTTTACTTCTCTTTCACTAAGAAATTGTATGAACTGATTTTCTTAAATCAGTTAGAAATTGTGACAGCTGCTGAGGGACTGGCAAATAATACAAATTGAGAAATTTGTAGTAAATTGAATAATGAAGCAGATTCTTTCGAAAATTTTATTTCTGTTAAGGAAGCTTAGTTTCTCAAAACTTTCGTTGCTCTTCGTACAAAAGCTACTTTTTCTTTTTTCAACATGTATAAAGAAAACTAAGAATAATTCAACAAGTTTTAATTATACATAATCGAATATTTTTACTTGTTCCTGGGTCATGCTAGCGATTGCTCGGCACGATTGCTCCGGCGCGGAGCTCGGCAGGCAGGTAATCGGTTAATTTTAAAATATCTTTACTGTTATTGGTCGTTTCGATATGTTCGTGAACTTAATATCAGACATACGTGAAACTACTGTTTCCATGGGAATGTCTATTTTGACAAGTTCGAGAATAGCATAACCTATTACCATGGGAATACAAGTAGTAGAATCTTTTCCCATGGGAAAATTTTCCAATGAACTCGAGAATCGAGCCCCTGAACGAAGTTCAGAAATGCGAGAAATATCACGTACAATAGTTATTTATAAAATTGTGTTTTGTAAGAAATTACTGACATCTATTCAACCAATATTACTACTTTTTTTGTATTGTTAGTTGCATATGAATCATTTTATTGACAGAACATATTATTAATTATTTATTCTCAACGACTTAAAAAGTAGGTTATTTTGCCGTGTATTGTGTTTTTATTATTTTGTGCTGATTTAGAATGGAAAATAAGGACCAAAACAATATATTACTACTAGGTTGTAAGTTTATCCAAATTCTATTTTTATAAGTCACCCTGTCCTTCTTTGATATAAATTTTCAATAATAATGTATATTATTGATTTTAAAACCAAAAAAGGTTTATTTTTCGCAACTGGTGATATAATGGAATTTTCGAAACCAGTTTCATAATGTTCAACATTACGCAACCAATTGCATAATGCATTGCATTTTAACACTTGCTACGATTACAAAATACTTTATGTCAAAATTAGAAATAATGTATTTTTAAATAAAATAAACAAACCCTTGACTGTTTTTAATTTACCCACCGTCCTGCCCCAAGTCCGGATTTCAGGGCTCACTTGTCTTGAATTTCAAAATACCTTTATGGAAACCCTACACCAACATGTGAACGTTGAGGCGATCCAGCTTCTGGACAACACGAACCTGACAAGAAGACTCAAGAGAGCGAAACCTTTTGAGCTAGCCAAGTGATTGTGTTAATAACAAAGCAAAGCATTGTGCAGTATAGTAAAATTAGGTTATCAGTCCCTAAGGTATACTAGTGAGGGGGGGGGCAGAATCTTAAGAACACCCAATGTTTTAACCACAAGCCGCCATTGGTTTATTACAATTTTAAATATTATTCTAGGGAATTAAACACAGTAAAAAAATGTAAATTATGATATTTACCCGTCGGTAAGCATTTCTTGGTCAAAGAGCACTGGAACTGGTCACTTCGACAGTTATGATTCTGTTGACAATCCGGAGGTTCATCACTGCCGTCATCACAGTCCCTACTTGAATCACAATGCCAACTGATCGGTATACATCTGCCGTTTGTGCATCTGAATTGGTTTGAAGGACATGATGATACTAGAAAAATAAAATACATTTTATAGAACCTATTTTACAAACATACAAATTCATTATTAAAGAACATATTATGTCCCCCTAAGTTGCAATCATATGGAAAACTTTTTTATTATTAATTTTAAGAAAAAAAGTTATTCTTCATAAAAAGTTCTACATTATCTAAAATCTAGAATACAGTCATCAAATATCAATTTTTTTCAGTGGTATATGAGGTTTGTCAAAAAATATGAGTTTTACTCAAGAGTAAAGTACCTTTATTCTTTATATGACTGATAAAATTCGATATTTGATGGTTGTATTTCAGGTTTTAGAGCATGCTCGACTTTTTATAAAGAACAACTTTTTTTCTCAAAATTAGTAATAAAACAGATTTCCTATGCCACCAACTGTCGTAAATTGGCGGCATATGAAAATCTTTTTTATTATTCTCAGATAGGGCAGGTCGCCACCCTTAATGAATCACTCTGTACATAATATTAAAATTATATTGAATAATCTAAAATGTATCGTTCTGTATCTCGTTCGTACAAACAGAAATGAGACACATTTTACTCAAATTTGGTTATAGATCTACATCATTAAATAATTTCTTATAAAATATATTTATATTTCGTTACAAGCGCTATTAATTTAATTAATATATTGCATTTGCTGCGTTAAATTCAAATACTTGTAGCGGTAAAGTAACTTTATTTATTAAAATAGTTAACCTTCATTTCAATGTAAAAAACTAGAATAATAACTAGAAATACCTACGCAACGTAAATAAGTAGTTGTTAGTATTTACCCCATAAAAACTGCTATTTGCACCACATCATACTATATTTCCTTAGTTTAATGTTTATCCAACATAAATTATGTTTATAATAATACAAATACAAAATAAGTCTTAAAAGTAAGGATATCTGCATCTACCCCTTACTGTTATTATTTTGGGTTGAACAACTTCACTGCTTTACGGCACAACGCTTTCCTCAACTGCATTCAAACAAATGTTATGGATGCGATTCCGAGCTATAGCGATCAGTTCGAATAGGAAATTTCTTGTTTTTATATCACGTGCATCTCATAAACACGCATTTAAAAGTAATTGTAATTAAAAAATGTAATTGTACTTATAAATGTAATTGTAATTGGAAAAAAGTTATTGTAATTAAAAAAGTAATTGTACTTATGACTGGTAATTGTATTTACACAATTTAAATAATATAAATTAATATAATTACAAAGTACAATTCCTCCACAGATTTTGCTGCAATTATAATTCCAAATTACTTTGAGAGAGAAAGGTACTTAAATACAATTACATGAAAAAAAGTAATTGTAATTATTAATTACTTTTTAACTAGGAATTACCCAGCTCTGATTTGTAATACACAGATAGTCTTGTAGAAAGAACTTGCGAAAATAAACCGTACCAGATACTAGTCCTGTGGATAGAACGAACAGAATATATAGCTCCACAGGCATTTACCATCAGGGTGGTAGAAGCCTACCAAATAGCAACGTCCGGTCAAATAAAATCACGCAACTGCCTGTCGAAAAAGTTGACTAAAAAAAGAGCATCCAGAGAAACCTCTTGGCGACGTTGATTAATCAGTAGAATTTTTGACAATCTAAAAGGCAGCTCCTATATGCCACTGTAGGATGCACAATGGTCTAGTGAGGCCTAAGTGATGTGAGCGCCACCCAATCTCCTCATCTTCAGATCTATCAGAAAGATAACGATTGGAAATTAAATGGAATCTCATATAATTTTGGACAACCGTGAATCGACAACTGCTTCTTAACGTGGTGTGACGCGGTCACTAAATTTTCATTTAATTAAAAAAAAAATGTTTAATTCAAGTAAATATCCGCATGTTAGCATTCTCAAGAACCCCCGTATTTTATTTCTTAAAAATTCCCGTTTCTGAGCATTTGCAAAGAGCATTTGCAAAGAGTAGTTCAAAATATTTCATTATTTACTGAAATTCGAATCAAGCTTTAAACGTTCAAATTCATGTAAATTATCTGGTCATTTGAGAAGATGTTAAAAGGTTACTTTTTAAGTCCTCCGATTTGTAAATATTAGCTACTCCTACTCCGAACCATTCGGGAACAGAATTAGTCCGAGCGTAAAATACAAAACCGGCCTCCTGCATTCTTTCTTTTTCCGCTACGCTCTTTTGTCGCCGCTCTTTCCTGCTCTTTTCCAGTTTTTGAGTGAACCCACATTTGTGAGTAACGTTATTTATATTTTTCGACACCGAGCGTGTGAACGCCGTGGAAAATATAAGGTAGGATTCTTTCATTACTAGCCTTACAATTAGGATTTAATTATTTATACTCTGAATCGACCGTGGAATTAACAAAATAAATCATTTGTGATAAGTCCGACAAAATTGGCCTTTACAAGGTCAAAATTTATTCATTAGGATCTCTGAACTTTCGTAAAGGAAGCCATTCCAGCAAATATTGTAGGCTGGCTTCGACGACGGAACTTCTTAAAGCCGAAATAATTAAATTCCCAACTTTGTAACGAATATCGTTTTGTGAGTTCTGAAGTTACGTAAGCGACCCAAGTTCAGCAAATATTGTAGGCTTATTTGGCCGACTTAATTTCTCAACATACAAGGTTCTCCGAGTCAAGTCAAGCAATCAGTGAAATTTTTAATTCACTAAGAACCTTCGATCACGAGGTAACGTAATTCCCTTATCCTTCACTGCTTCGACTGTAGTAAACTGCATCCCTTGGAAAATATTCCTTCCTCGATTCCTTCAACAAGTGACTTTTCGTCAGCAATAATTGTTACGAAAACCCGACCACCTTCACTGTTAATATCGTAGTCAGTTTTTTTTTTAATTTAACGGGCATACTTTGATCCTATTCGGCCAGGCCCGTGGTAAGCCGGTTGCTTTTCATCGCGTGGTAGATATGCGAGATCGTACACATCTGACGAACATGGGCTCATTGTTGGCCCGGGCTCGGCCCGTTATATCTATAAGCACCTTTAGAATAATACTAGTCGCATTCAACCTGATATTTTTTGAAAATTGCTTCTGTCTCACTAAGCATATTATTAATTAACTTATATTTCATTTAATTTTCGGGCAAGGAGTTTCAGTACAATGCATCTAAAAATTATTTTAAATTGTGGATTTAATTCTTTTATTTTATTCATGTATTCTATCGAAGGTTTCCGTCTGTAAATATATATTCTGAAGATTGAATTATACTGTTGAGTTAGAATTTCCGCCTTTACCGAATTATGTTTAATCTCTTATTTTTATTTAAACGTTTATTATTTTAAACTGAATATTCAATTATACTGTTGAGTTAGAATTTCCGCCTTTACCGAATTATGTTAAATCTTATTTATATTTATTTTATTCAGGTATTTTATCGTAGGTTTCCGTCTGTAAATAAATATTCTGAAGATTCAATTATTATACTGCTAATTGAGTTAGAATTTACGAATTACTAAGAAAATCCGTCTTGCTGCTTTTGCAGGTACTACCACTGATCTGTACAGATCAGTGGGTACTACCCATACGTAAGTAACCGCCTGGAATTCTTTACTCCACTGGGGCTAGTTTTAGTGCACTCTAGTTGTATTCGAGTGCCGCAGAACGAACTGCGTTATCAAAACTGGCGCCCGGGCAACCCTTGTTCTAGATAACAGCCTGGCGCCACCCACGGCTTCTACTTTCACGCAAGTGAATCAAGAAGACGTGTCTCAGTGGCTATACCTCAGTCTCTCTCTGTTGATTGATTTATGTCTCTTCCAATAAGCGTATAGTATAAGGGATCTGTATGTAGCTAGAAAATTGAATGGTTTATCACTATTCAATGCGATTTTGTATTGGTTAAAATGATTACTGATATTAAAAGTACGCTGCTGTAAAATCAAAGCAATATATTTATTAATATTAAAAAGCACAATAATATAATGATGACTGCCAGTTGTTTACCAGATAGCCTTACTCAAATTAGTATCAATTAAGGAATTGTACAATATATTGGGTGACAACAACTCAATAAACCGGTTTTAAATTTAATAACGTAAAAGTATTTTGTAATTAAAGGTAATGAAATATAGGGTTAATTAATTGACGTCCAAAGGTAAAATTGTATTAATGAACATGTTTTTCATTAACTTTTAAAATACACTTAATTTTCTAAACCCGCTGATGGTGATTTTGAAAAAAGGAACCGCCAAAGAGCGCCATACATCAATAAAATTCAAATTAGTGGGACTTGGTTTTGAATCAAAACAGCTTGTGCAGTGTTGGTCCCGCACCACAGAAGCAGCAACAAGCCCAGATATGCAGAATAAGCATTTATTTTCGAGTAAAATCAAAAATAAATTTTGTAAAAGCTTGTCCGATCTCGACATAGAAATAATATAGAAGACCAATATAAATGGAACATTTAAGCAGAAACTGAAAGGTATTGCGCACAAAAATGCGCCTTTGCGCAGGACATCGCAGACTAGTGTCTATAAGCATGCGCAATATGCATGACTTGTCTCTGTAGCGTTGTCAGGTATATTAATCAATCTTGCCATAAAATAATTTTAAAATAATGATTTAACCAGTTTATATCTATGAAATATCGCAACAAAATAACTTATAATATTTTAAGTGTAATTACATGTACACAAATATATTAGACATGTTCACCATGCGATGACCTTGATTAAATATTGACTTGGCAATACCGTTCAAATCGGGAGTTCCAAGACCTCTCCTAAGCTAGCAGGACCAACTGGGCACAATCGATTCAGATCTATTACATTATTTAGTACTTATTTTGTACTAATTTGAACCACCAATAAAAATTTTGTACTATGTACCGTTTTCAAAAACATACAATACATGACGCTTTTAGCTTATATTAAGCTATACCATATTAAAAAATAATAAAACAAAGGTATAATTAAAAAGGACTGAATTTGTACTAATTTGTACCACCGATAAATGTTTTGAACTATGTGCCGCTTTAAAAAAAAAAAAAA